TGACTGAGTATGCTTGCTGGAAGAAATAGGTCTTCAGATGTGTTTTCAGTTTCGACAGCACATTTACCTGTTGAAGCTCTTCCAGCAGGTTGTTCCACAGTCTTGGGGCGGCTGATGAAAAGGTCCTCTGGGTGATGGTCATCAGTCGGGTTCTAGCTAGTTGGGGTAGCTGCCACCTAGAGGACCTAAGTGTTTGGGGTGGATTGTATAGGAGAAAGCGATTCTGAAGATAAACTAGACCCAAACTATGTAGGGTTTTAAATTTTGCCCGGAAACTAATTTGCAAGCAGAGGAGTGACTTTAGTATAGGAGTAATATGCTCACTCCTGGATATTCCTGTGACCAATTTGGCTGCTGCATTTTGAACTAATTGGAGTTTATGAACTTGGTACAGAGGTGGCCCAATGTAAAACGCATTGGAGAAGTCTAACCTTGAAGTTACCATCTTTAGATTCATCCAAATCTAGGACTGGGTGTAGCTTGCGTATCAGCCAAAGCTGATAGTAAGCACTCCTGATTGCCGCATCTACCTGAACTGACATTTGGAGAGACAGATCCAGGAACACTCCCAAGCTGTGAACACAGTCTTTCAAGGAGAGTATAACCTCATCCAGAACTGCTTGACAGAAGAATTAAAAAGCTTATGGCTTTTGCCACTTCTGTCAGAGAAGGGGATTGTTCCTTTTTTGTTAAGAGTCAAGATACAGTTCTCACATTGATCCATAGATAAGTTGACCCAGGTTTGTTGGGTTGTTTTTGTTTTTTTTACTTAAATTTCTTATAGGCAATATGTTTTTAGACCAGGTATGGTAAAACTTCGGCCCTCCAGGTGTTTTGGACTTCAACTCTCACAATTCCTAACTGCTGGTAAGTTAGTTGGGATTTCTGGGAGTCAAAGTCCAGAACACCTGGAGATTTGCCCAAACATGCTTTAGACTGTTACTTAGCTAACAAACTAAAGCAAAACGAAATAATTTATGTACACAACTGAATGACATATTTGGACTCAAAAGACTTCAATAAACCTTTGTTCTGTGCCCCTAGGTTAGTGCTTCTCAACCTATGGGTCCCCAGATGTTTTGGATTACAACTTCCAGCCAGTTTACCAGCTGTTAGGATTTCTGGGAGTTGAAGGCCAAAACATCTGGGGACCCACAGGTAGATAACTACTGCCCTAGGTTTTATCCTTGAGTTGTCCACACATCATAGCTATTCCATAATTTTGGGCCCAAAATCTGTTGTCCTCTTATGCATCAGATTGTCTTTTAGTCAAGTGTATATTGTATATCAGTAAGTATTTAACATGATAATATACTTTCTGTTTAAAATGTACACACTCACAGGGAAGCAGTTCTGGTTGTACTTCACTTTTTTTTTAATTTTAAGAGTTAACCTGTTAAAGATCAAGTCCTCAGTCATTAGCTTATTAATTCATAATTCTCTGTCCTTCAATAGGGGGGTGGTTTTGTGCAATGGCACAAATGTGTTAAATGAAATGATCTTCAGACTGTTCTTGCTGGAGGCACTTGTGGCATCTCCTTTCACAATGCTTTCACAAAGTCTTAAAACAGTGTGAAGTCAGATACTACTGTAATGAATTTTTCTAGTCTCAGTACTCACTTTTGTGTTGCAGAGAAAATAATGCATTTATTTTCTGGTAAAAATAGTTCTTTGTGGAAGATATTGCAGCAGTTCTGAAATTAAAGGGGAAAACAACCTCTGAACATATTGCAATATAAATACTACTATGCATTCTGTCATATTGGTCTTCACCTGAGATATAGCTGCATTCAGATAGAGTGTGCTGCTGCTGCTGCTGATGATGGTTATTATTATTATTACTATTGTGGTTCTTTTTGTTGTTTTTGTTAAACATACTTTCATTGACCCATGGATAAGTCAGCCTAATTTTGTTAGTATTGATTTTTTGATTAAAATTTCTAGACTTATATTGAGTATAATTATCATAGGGGAAGCTTAACAGGGAAAAACAAGATATGCAGGAAAATGCCCATATGCAGAAGAATAAGATGGAAGAAAATTGCTATGTAGCAACGTTTTGAAGAAAGATTTCAGTATTACAATGCTAGCTAACTGATCACAAATCAACAGCTGCAGCACCATCTGGTCAATTTTAATGGATATCTTCTTGTTTGTTCACTTGAAGATAACAGACTAACCTTGTTCATGCTTTGCCATTGCAAATTATCACTAGTGAAATCTTCCAAAACAGGTCTGACTTTTGAGTCTTAGAAATTCATTAACCTCCATGAAAGAATCTGTAAGAGGCTATAAAGATATTTCATTTAAAGAAAGCAAAGCTAGACACAGCAAATGTCAACAAAGATTGCCCACTATCCAATATTCTTTATTTGGACCCAAGGTTTTGGATTCTGCTTGTCTCAGTTGTAAAGCTCTCATGTTAATGGTTTGTATATATTCTGGTCTGAGTTTCAGTCTTGTTTTGGAAGTGAAATTACAACAAATGGCTAATATAAATGAGGTCTGCCTGGAAGTGGTGACATAACGGCCTTATTGGCTCTTCTTCATGACCATCAGGGTATCATGAGGTTTCATTTTATCTCATATTTTTCACCATCTGTATGAACACAGTTTTTGGGAATGGGGTCAACAATTCACAGATTTACCTCTTGCTTCCATCAGCCAGACTTTGATGCAGTGGAAATGATAAATTGTCAAGTTTGAATGGATGAACACTTAGGAATAAGAGAGTATTACTAGATATTAATTCTGGGTTGTTTTAACCTTTAAAAAAAACAGTTTTTGGTTATTGCTAGGTGAACACTCAGATAGGGTGACTTACTTAAAGTGTATTTTTAGTTGTTGTTTAACGAGTTGCTGCCCATCTCAAAGAGTATGAACTAGGTGTTGATTGTTTAAGATTTGGTTGTATCCAGACTTATTACATTTATTACAGTTTTCATTTATAGCTATTCATTTTGAAACAATTCAGAAATTTCCAATGGCCCAAAATTTAGTACCCACAATTCTGTTTATTGCCTGTTTTGGGGACACATAACTCCAACCCAGTTCTAATTACAGGGTTGTCTATTCCAGTGGTTCCCAACCTTTTTTTTTTTTTATGAGGGACCAACTTTGCCCATTTGAACAGGAAGCACACTCTAAAATTAGTAACAAAAGGATTACAAAACAGGTTTTGGTCAACTTTATATTTGGTTTGATTATTTGGGGTCCTGTTTCATAAAATTGCATTGTATAAACCACATCAGCTCTAGTTTCTGATACAGTACATATGCCGTCCAGCAGTCACCATCTGCTCGCCCACAGAAAACCGTCTTTAATAATCTAGAGCTGATGTGATAGTAATAATCTTTTGTGGGTAGTCAGTCTTTCCCCTCCCAACATCCCTGTCGCCTTGGCACTATAAGAGGGTTTCGCGAGACCAGTTCCTCTAGTTGCTGCATGGTTTCGAGGCAACGATGTAGTAATAATGAGACCGCAGACCGTATTTTAATTCTTGCTGACTACTGGTGGTACACGGACCACAGGTTGGGAACCACTGATCTGTTCATTTCTTGACGCACCTGTTAACACTGTTAAGTAAATATTTCTCAAGCTTTTGATTTTGCAGGAACCCATAAAAATGTTCAGGTCTCAAGGAACAAACCCCTATATAAAAATACTATATTTACAGCTCAAAAATTGCTCATTTTTTCCAAACACATTCTTTCATAAATCTCTCATGGAACCTAGTTGAGAAACCCTGCTTTAAAGACATGATTGTATATTTTTCTTTTGCATTTTGAATCAGATGTACTCCTTGCTGTGCAATCACATTGGATCATTGAGCAAGTGACCAAAACAGATAGGATCTTTTTAGTGGCCCCTTGCTCTCTGAGAGGTTAGACTGCCTGTTCCTTACCTTGAAAACTGATAATGATAAGGGCAGCACAACAACGTGTCCATTTCCATGAGGATAAGGTCACTCCCTCAATGGAGGATTTTTGATTTAGGCAACCATTATCCGGAGATACTTAGACTCCGAATTTCAGTCATTCAGTAGGGGTCCATTGGTGGATCTCTAAATGTCTTCCTCCAGTTCTATCGACAACTAGTAATTTTACTAACTTTTTCTCCTGAACTGCTCCATGTTGATTGGGAGCTTCCTAGTCCTGGACCAGAACTAGGAAGAACAGCTGCAGTAGAAATGGTGATAAATTAAGATTTGATTCATTGCTTATGGGTCTGTTTTGATTATCCTTTTTTCTTCCCTTATATTTTATGGCATTTTAAAAATACAATTATGGAGAAGAGAAGGAGGAAAAAGAAAAGGAAAGGGGGGAGTAAATGAGATAATGTTAGCTAGGCATACGTATTAATATAAGCTACCTGTATTGCCAAAATACATTTATTTGGAAATTGACATCACTAAAATGCTGAAGCAGTATGATATTCTTACCATTGAACAATGGTAAACGTTTATCTTTCTGTACCTGGAATATGGTCAGGAATATATCCCTTAGTGCCAAGCTGTTTTTGGACATGACCTATTGTGCAAGAAATTAACCTTCTGTGTTTGGGTGATCTTACCTTGGAGGCTATACTATATATTTCCTGTCTTTTTAAAATGGTAACAGGATTATCTGCATTGAGGGAAGAAATGTCATGCTCATAAAACTTGCAATTTTAAAAGATGTCAAGAAACCAAAAGGGCAAAGGTGTTATTTGTCTAATTGACTTGTAATAAATAAACAAAAATATTCCACCTAAACATTAGGAAGAACTGCCAGTTCAGCTGCAGAATATGCTGTCTCTTTACTCCTCAGAACCTGATGGAGTCTCCTTTTCTGTAGGTTTTTAAGCAGAGGTCAAATGGCCATCTGTCAAGGGTGCTTTAATTATGTGTTCCTGCATATCAGAAGGGGGGTCAGACTGGATGGTTCTTGTGGTCTCTTCCAACTCTATGATTCTGTGAAACATCTTATAACCAGCCTAATTGAAAACTATTTATTTTTCAGGATATCATGGATACCATATACAATTGGATATGCTCAATAATTCCTGAAGATGATCCTTTTTGTGGTCAAGACTTTTAAAGTCCAGGCTTTTTATACTGTAAAGGTAAGGAAATGTTATTTTTGTTAACTTACAAATTGCATATTCAAAGTCACCTTTTCATGGATTACAAGTATTTACTATAGCAATATGTAAGCTCAGCTAAAAGAATATATACAGCCTAGTAAGTTGGAATGGTCCGGTTGTAAAGTAGTGTTTTGCTTATGTGCATGCAACTTTTACCTCAGGTGCCTGATTCTTTAGTGTGATTTGCTTTGCAACATGTGCAAAATGCCAGTGTTAAACGTTTTCAGGTGAAAGGGAAAAGGTACTACATGGAGAAAAGCGAGTTATTGGCATTAATAGATAGCATCATGATGTATTACGTAAATGCAACCAGTAATGATAGCAATGGTTTTTAAAGACTGATTAGTTACTTTTCAAAAAGAATGATTGAAGAGTGATATCTTAAAATTCCAGGTAGAATGAAGATAGGGTTGTATCAGTATATTCTTTCCATCCTGGGAATGCATTTAAGTGTTTGTGTGTGATTTTCTCTTTGTAAATCGATATTTATCTCATCTGTATTTAGCAAACATATTTTAGAGCAAGTTATATGGTACTAGAAATCTTCTTGATTCATATAAAGTGGAATTGTAAAAATATTTTAACACACAGAGCTTGTTTTTTTACATGGCTTTAAATCGGAAAGTATGCATATGTTGTCAATCAATGTGTAAGTCCTACCTTTTTATTTCATGTCAAAAGCATTGCACAAATAAGTATAAAACTGATAAAAATAGAGGGAACACAAGTGGCTAAATGACTTTTGACCAAAAATGGGCAACAGTGACCGCATTGTTTGTAGCTTTAGACAATTCTTCCTCTGTGCATGAGGCAGAGCATTGTGGGCATGCATACAGGTGCAGAGTTGTTTGTTTTGCTCCACAGTTGCACAAGGTGGAGGATTCTTCTAGGTCGTGCCATTTTGCCAGGTTGTCTTTTGATCTGCCTACTCCACTTCTGAGTCAGTTCAGGGACTTCCAAGTTGCCCATTCTTGGTTTGCACCTGGAGGAAGACCCTCATGAGTGGTCATCTGTTTGGGATTTCCTGGTTTAGCTGCCCAGAGGGATACCCTTGCTGTTACTGGGGGAACATTAAGAAAAGTCATGGTTCTTATGAAGCTTTTCCTTGATTTCAGTCTACTTGGAGGAGGCAGATAGCCATGTAGAGGATGGCTTTCACAGTGCTCAACCTTATTTCTCTCACAGTTAGCAGCAACTTCCCGTCACACATCCGGGGGGGGGGGGGCAATGCCAGCTAACTTACAGAGTCTGTCATCAGATATAGGTTTAAGACATCCTGTGATTATTCTCCATATTTCGTTCAGTGCTATGTTCACCTGCTTCGCGTGTCTTGTGCCAAACAGGGCAGGCATACTCATGAGTTAAGACAAAGCCAGGGCTGATGTTCTTATTAATTTTGGGTCTGTATCCCATCAGTCCTACCTGATGACCTACTTAATAAACACAGGGTGATAAGGACACCAGTCTCACAAATGCGCTTTTCAATTGTGGTACCATTGAATGGTATCTGTCTATGCAGTTTATGTTTTTATTTGTTTGTTCTGTTTAGGACTGTTCAGGATAGTAAAATCCCATTGGATTTAGTGTTTCATGCTCTGTGTCTTGTGCAACTGGTGCTCAACCTCAAGAGGGAGAAAAGTGGGCATAGATATCAATACAAAAATACCACCAGATCATTCACATCATCATAGGATTCCACAAGTATAAAAATGTCTGCACATTTTTTACTTGGTTTAAAAACATTAAACAGGAATAAACCAATTTTATCTAAAATTTGAAGAAGCAAATATATTTTATCGAGAAGCTTTGGAATGATATCTGTTTGGTGTGTAGTCTTTTCTCTATGAGCCCTTTTCAACTATTAAAAAATTTTGTTTGAATAATCTGAACCTGATGATGGGAGTTTTAGTTTTGTTTAGTACAGTTTCAGTAAGCAATAAAGTAAACTAAAATCAACGAGTAGTTTGGCAGCTAAGTTGTCCTAATGAGTCGCTCTGTTTTACTTGGAAACAAATACCATCCATAATATAATTATACTACACCAGAGTATTGTGCAGTTTTCACATTTTTCAGGTTTGTAAGAAGATGGTAAAACTTGTAATTGAAAAAAAAAGAAAAACATTAATGCTGCTTCTGTAGTTTTATAATGACTGGCTGTTTGTTTGTTTATTTGTTTTTTTAAAGTGCTGACTAGCCAGCGGATCTCAGATGTAATAATTATTTGCTAAAGGATGAGTTATTATGAAACGAGAGCTCTCTATTCAAGGAGCAGGAAAGAAGAAGCTTTGTACAGTATTTAATACCAAGATCTTTTAGACCAGTGATTCTCAACCTGGGGTCCCCAGATGTTTTTGGCCTTCAACTCCCAGAAATCCTAACAGCTGGTAAACTGGCTGGGATTTCTGGGAATTGTAGGCCAAAAACATCTGAGGACCCCAGGTTGAGAACCACTGTTTTAGACTATAGGAGGAAGTAAGTGTAATATATTTAAATAATAAGCATACAAATGAAAGGTAGAAAGACTTAGAAGGAAAACAGAATTATGTTTTCTCTTCAGAACCTAATAATTTTTGTACTGGGTCAGTTCAAAAGTTTGATGCTGAATGAACCAAAGGGCTGCCTAGTTTGCATCCTTTTCCCCACTATTCCTAACCTGATGTCTTGAAAAGTCCTCTCCTGAACACCAACCACTTTTATTCATTGCTATCATGGAACATATGAAAAAGCCAATGTGGCTGTACAAAAAAACCTTGTGAAAAAAGCAAAAATAAGAGTATGAAGGACAAATCACCAAGGAAGAATACAGATGTATTGCAGTAATAGTATAGGGAAAACTCAAGCTGTAACTGAACTCAGACTGGCATGGGAACCAGGAGGCAACAAGAAGCCTTGAATGTATTTTCCAAAGCAAGAGAATGACATCAACAAGGATACTATAATTATAGCACATTAGCATAAAAGGGCACAACTGCTCATTACTTATTTCGGATTATCATTGGGGGGTTTTCCCTTTAAAAGAGACAATGTGCTTCCATGTATCAGCACAGACATTACAAATCATTACTGATATGGAATAGAAGCTAGCGTGGACTGGTCAAGAACAAATTCAACCAAATTAATCTTACGGTTTTTTAAATCAAGTCACCGGTTTATTAAATGGGAGGAATAGTCAATACTCCAGGGGACAGGAACAGAATTCAAAGCATCTTGACAGATTAGAGAGATGGCCCGAGAGCAGTACGTGTGAAAAAGATCTTGGGGTCCTCGTGGACAACAAGTTAAACAATGAGCCAACAATGTGATGCGGCGGCAAAAAAAGCCAATGGAATTTTGGCCTGCATCAACAGGAGTATAGTGTCTAGATCTAGGGAAGTCATGCTCCCCCTCTATTCTGCCATCTGGAATATTGTGTCCTATTCTGGACACCACAATTGAAGAGAGATATTGACAAGCTGGAATGTGTCCGGACTAAAATGATCAGAGGTCCGGAGAACAAGCTCTATGAGCAGTGGCTTAAAGAGCTGGGCATGTTTAGCCTGAAGAAGAGAAGGCTGAGAGGAGACATGATAGCCATGTATAAATACGTGAGAGAAAGTCATAGGGAGGAGGGAGAGCCATTCATCTGCCGCAGAGTGTGGTGGAGGCTCCTTCTTTGGAAGGTTTTAAACAGAGGTTGGATGGCCATCTGTTGGGAGTGCTGTGAATGCGATTTTCCTGCTTCTTGGCAGGGGGTTAGACTGGATGGCCCATGAGGTCTCTTCCAACTCTATGATTCTATGAAATGCTAGGAATATTGTGGATATCATTTCATTAACCATTTGATGAAGTCCCTCGCAATATTTTGTTGGAAATACCAGCCTTCTACAAGCCTCCTATGCTAGTTATTTATGTGTGTGTGTGTGTGTGTGTGTGTGTGTGTATGTATGTATTAGATTGCTTACTATATTGTATATGTGTGTATTGATAATGCAGTTTTCCTTAACTCTGTGTTGTTTAAAGTTTTGGGAAGGACTGCAGATCCTGTGATCAGATCTGGGACTATTCAGACTGTGACTCCCATTTAGTAGTCATTGTTCAGTCAGTATTGTATTATATAGTCAGTTTTTGTTATGCATTAGACATAAGACAGAGAAGAGACTGCAACAGGATGCTGTTTAAACTTTCAACTGATTTAGACTTTAACTGATAAGCAATGTACGTGTATGCTATATACATGAAGTTTGTAAGTAAACCAACTATGTTGGTTTCAATGAAGACTACTTATTTTTGTCTCTTGAGAGTGTGATTTAAAACTAAATATATTTTATGGGAGAGTAGATATTTTTGGGCAACTGAAATAACACTTCTGAATATATGCTATATATTTTCTGCATTGGCATATCTTTGTTCCTAACAGTTCAAAGAAATAACTAGGTATATCAATTTAACAAAAGAGAAACCTAATTTGTCTTGCATGAATACTAGTGAATATTTACCACTAAAGAGAAGATTGACTCAAATGAGTTTTTAGCTCTTCTCAGGATGATCATACTTTACAAAAAGATTATGATTTTCCAAATTGTAGTGAATGCCAATTAATCTCCAAAAGGTCATACTTCCAAAGGACTTTGGAGATTCTGGTCTTCCAAAAGGTTATGATCTCAAAGGTCATCCTTTTCCCAAAATATTTTGATTAGCATTAAATATGGGAATAGAGGAAAACGCTATCAAATCAATTCATAACTTGTTGGAAAATTATCCTCAAAGAGTTGTAATCGACATCTGTGCTTCCAATGGAAGGAAGTCTCAAGATACGTGCCTAAGATTCTGTCCTAGAGCCACTACTTTTGAACATTTTTTCAGTTACTTAGATGATAGTGACTTGGGTGGTAGTAATCCTCATCAAGTTTGATGATAATGCAAGACTGGGAGAGGAAGTTAAGAACAAAATTTGAAATGACCTTGATAAACTAGAAAGCTGGGCAGAAATTAATAAAATA